GCGCGCCCCCCGGTTCAGCCCCCCGCCCCCGTCCATCCGCAGGGTGCCAGGCCCAGCAGCTGGCCATCCGCCTGGAGCCCCAGGGGCTGCTGTACGCCAAGCTGACCCTGGCCGAGCGGCGAGACGCCCCAGCGCCCGCGGAGCCCCGCGTCTTCGGGCTGCCTCTGCCCCTCCTGGTGGAGCGCGAGCAGCCCCCCGGCCGGGTGCCCCTCATCATCCAGAAGTGCGTGGAGCAGATCGAGCGCCGGGGGCTGAGGGTGAGCCCCCACCCCGGCCCGGCCCTGGGCCCCGACCACCCTCCAAGACAGAGAACCCAGGCTACAGTTCTTGGATCTGTTCTGTGTGTGTCTGTCTGTCTGGTCTGTCTGTCTGTCTGTGTCTGTGCGTGGGCGCGAGCGTCCTGGGGTTTGAACTCAGGCTCCAAGTGCTGTTCCTTAGCTTCCACTTGAGCCACAGCCTCACTTCCAGCTTTTTAATCAGAAGAGTCTCATAGACTTGACTGTCCGGCCTGGCTTTGAAGCCCGATCCTCAGATCTCAGCCTCCTGACTAGCTGGTATGACTGGCCTGAGTCCCTGCCTCTATCGATCACTGAAATGTTTAATACTACAATCCCACCTGTCCCTTGAGTTCCGTTTCCAGGGAGAAATACCACGAGCCATAGCCCACAGCTGCCAAACTGCAGCTGGGAGAAGAGGTCAAGAAGGGAAGAGTGGGGTGTGGTGGTGCATGCCTACAGTCACAACGGGGTTAGGAGGATGAAGGTTCAAAGCCAGCCTGGGCAAAGTGAGGCTCAGGACTCCATCTGAAAGAAAACAAACTTAGAACTGGGAAGGAGGCTCAGAGGTCCAGTGCTTGCCTAGCATGCATGAAACCCTGGGTTCAATTCCTCATCACCACATACACAGAAAAAGGTGGAGGTGGCGCTGTGGCTCAAGTGGTAGAGCGCTCGCCTTGAGCTGAAGAGCTGAGGGACAGCGCCCAGGCCCAGAGTTCAAGCCCCAGGACTTGCAGGGGGAGGGAGGAAAGGACCCCAAAGGACTGGGAGCAAGTGCCAGGCCATGAGTTCAAACCCCGCTCTCTCCCCACCACCAGGTAGTGGGGCTGTACCGTCTGTGCGGCTCTGCGGCTGTGAAGAAAGAGCTTCGGGATGCCTTTGAGCGAGACAGTGGGGCTGTTTGCCTCTCTGAGGACCTGTATCCGGATATCAACGTCATCACAGGTCAAACCAGCCCCCTTCTTGCCCTCCCCACTCTGCCCCCTTTCAACCCTGACCTCACAGGTGGACTGGTGTCTGCAGACACCCCTGCCCCACCCCTGACTGCAGGCGGCTGTGTCTACAGGCATCCTCAAGGATTACCTTCGGGAGCTGCCCACTCCGCTCATCACCCAGCCTCTCTATCAGGTGGTGCTGGAAGCTATGGCTCAAGGACCCCCAAGCAGGGCCCCCCCAGGTCCGGAGGGTACCCGAGGGCTCCTCAGCTGCTTGCCTGATGTGGAAAGGGTGAGTTAACCCACCTGGGCCTGAGCCTGCATCACCTGTGGGACCAACACCCCATTCCCACAGAGCGGGTTCAGTTAAATGCCTCGTCCATGATAAAAAAAACCAAGGCCCAGAGTAGTGGAGTGACTTGCCCAAGAAAGCAAATGTCAAAAACAGACGCACCCGGCTCATCCCTGTAATCCTAGCTACTCAAGATACTGAGATCTGAGCGTTACAGTTCCAAACTAGCCAGAGCAGGAAAGCCATGGGGATTCTTAGCTTTAATTAACCAGCAAAAAACTGAAAGTGGACCTATGGCTCAAGTGCTAGAGCACCAGCCTTAGGTCAAAAAGCCAAGTGAGAGTGAGAGGTCCTAAGTTCAGGCTCCAGCCCACCCCCCACCCCACCCTGCCCATTTATCATGGTCACCTTCCAGCTAGAAGACGTGGACCTCGGTCTCCCCACTCTGGGTCCAGACACCACCCGTGTCTCCCCCATAGCTGCGCTGGAGCTCGGCTCTGCCACCTCATGCCCACCTTCAACCCTCCCCGCAGGCCACGCTGACGCTACTCCTGGACCACCTGCGCCTGGTCTCCTCCTTCCACGCCCACAACCGCATGACCCCGCAGAATCTGGCCGTGTGCTTCGGACCCGTGCTGCTGCCGGCACGCCAGGCGCCGGCCCGGCCCCGCGTGCGCGGTTCCGGCCCAGGCGTTGCCAGCGCCGTCGACTTCAAGCGCCACATCGAGGTGTTGCATTACCTGCTGCAGTCTTGGCCAGGTGAGCCCGCCCACAGATCTGTGCCGCCAATCCAGGCAGGTGTGTGTTAGTCCTTCTCCCGGGCAGCCAATCAGTGTCTAGGAGTTAAAGAGGGCCACGCCCCCTCACCTGTAAACTGTTCAAGTTCGTCCTCTTGGCCTGCCAATCAGAGGCCTAATTATCTCACACCCAGCCAATGAAATCCTTACCTGGCTGAGGCCTGGCCTCTCCCGAGCCAATCAGGAGCCTGATTGCCGTTGCCGTGAAAGACATCAGCCTTAAGCGATGCCTGTGCTCCCTTCAGATCCCTGCCGGCCCCCAGAGGCTCCGGATGTCGTGCCATACTTGCGGCCCAAGCGACAGCCACCACCGCGGCACTTGCCTCTCGCGGGCCCCGAAGTGGTGACCCCCCGTGACCGCGGGGGCCCGGAGAGCCCTCCAAGCAACCGCTACGCCGGAGACTGGAGCGTGTGCGGGCGGGACTTCCTTCCTTGTGGGCGGGACTTCCTGTCGGGGCCCGACTACGACCACGTGGCGGGCAGCGACAGCGAGGATGAGGAGGACGAGGAGAACGGCGGATCGCGGGGTGCTGCCGACTTCGAGGATGAGTTCGACGCGCCCTTCAACCCGCACCTGAACCTCAAAGACTTCGACGCCCTCATCCTGGACCTGGAAAGAGAGCTTTCCAAGCAGATTAACGTGTGCCTCTGAGCCGCAGAGCGCGGGGACCCGGCTGCCAAGGGCCGGCGCCGGTGACCGAGCACGGGGACCCTGGACACTGATCACCACGGAGCCGTGCCCTCATTAGGACAGACCAGGACCCCCGTTACCCAGAGTGGGACCCCTGGTTACAGGCAGGGCCGTAACTGTCCAAGAGGACTTCAGCAGCTCAACTTCAGCCCTTGTTCTTAGGGACCAGTCTCCTGTGCTGAGAATCATTCCTAGTTTCTAGCACCCTGTGTTTGGACACCAGTTGCAAAAGCCAGGCACTGGGGCAAGTCTTAGGATCTAGCTCCAGGGATTCTCCTGCTGCCGGAAGGCTGTCCTGCCTGGCAGGCTGCCCTCTCTTGCCCCTCCCCCTTTGCAGGGGAGACACCAGTTACTGTGAGTATCACCCTGGGGTGACACATACACACACACCCCAGTCCTCGTGCTGCCAACCAAATCAGTATTAGCTTTGATCACTGTACTCTGTTTCTCCCTCTCCCTTCGGGATTGAAGAAAGGCACTGTGTGAAGGTAGTAGCCCCTATCCTGGCTCCAGCCCAATAGGGGCTGCCTTCCCCCAGCCTCTTTTCCCAGGGAAGACCCCCCGCCAAGATCTGCCACCACAACATGCGGAGATATAAGTCCAACCGACCCTTCCCTTCTCCAGGTGTCCCTTCACCCCTGAAGAAAATTGAGCACTTAACCCCTCCCCTTCAGAGGGGCCCCACCTGAACTGTCAGGCTGGGCACTTTGGTACAGAATATATTTATTGCCTCTGTGTGTGGGTGTGCGTGGGTGTGGGTGGGTGTGTGGACGTGTGTGGACATGTTCAGAACAGGTGTGGGACTTTTTCAGGGACCACAGAGTGGAGAGGAATTCACCATGTCCAGGCACTTTGTGTGTGTGTGTGTGTATGCGTGTGCATGTGGACATGTTCAGAGGAGGTGTGTGACTTTTTCAGGGATGACGGGGGAAGAATTCATCATGTCCAGGCACCCTGATGTCCCCAATAGTCCAGTGGGAATCAGGTCCCCTTCTGGTCTTCCTTCCCCTCACCTCCAGCTTTGTGAACAATAAATCAATATGCACAAGATCTGTATCTGAGTCCTTGGGCCCTCATGAGCCGGAGGAGATTTATTCAGATAAGAAGAAAGGGGACGGTCAGGTCTGTAGAGACAAGGGCCCAAAGCTCTCCAGGGCCGCCAGGTGTTTCTCTGAGTTCTGATCCCACCAGCTCCCTCCAGGGAGGGTTGTCCAGTCACTGCAGCTTCTGGACTAGGTCCAGATCCCACAGGGATAAGACTCCAAACCAGCCGAGCAGAGTCCGGGAGCAGGGAGCCAGGCACACCGGCCCTGGGAGTCCCTACATGGAAATGGAGCCATCGCGGAAGTCCGTCCTCCCAATCAGGATGTTGACCACGACTGGGTGGCCATCCCGGCACTGCCGTTGGCCCTCACGCAGCACCTCGGCGACCTGGTCCTCACTCTTCCCTGACAGCAGCAAGCCCCGGGCCCCCAGACCCATGACTGCCTTGTGATAATCTGAAAGAAGAGGCCAAAAGTCAGATGGCAGCAGAGCTCCAGCCCCCCCCTCCATGAAGTCGGCCCAGGAGAGGGACGGACATCCAGCTGGGCCTGAAACAGATCCCTCCACTCCCACAACTCCACTGAGAGCCCTCACCCGTGTAGGCTAGGCCGCAGGCTACGTTGCTGCCCAGTCTGGGCACCTGCTCTCTGGAGATCTGGGTCCAGCCTGCATCATTCCCTACCAAGGCCATCACTGGGATCTACAAGGGAAAAAAAAAGGCCAGGCTGTGGGCAGCCCGAGGGCAAGAGCCCTCCCCCACCCTTGGCACCCCCCCTCCCACACCGCGCCGCCACCACATCTTCCAGAATGGGGGCAGCAGCTCAGTCACCTTGTGTCTGACGAATGTGTCGAACTCCATGAGGCTGTAGCCAAAGGCTCCATCCCCAAACAGGCACCAGACCTGGTAAGGGGGGAGGGGGGACCGGGGCGGTTAGGGGGATTCCCGGCCCGGAGAGCTGCAAGTCTCCCACATCCAGTGCCTCACCTCCGTATCCGGCTGGGACAGCTTGGCCCCAAGTGCAAACCCTGCACCAACTCCCAGAGTCCCAAAGGCCCCTGGAGGGACAAAACACACACACACATGGGCATGGGCATCCACTCCCACGGGGATGGTCCAGCCGGGCAAGCTGCCCTCCCTCCTCCCCACCCCTGCACGGGCCATTCCTAACCAGGGTCAAGCCAGCGCAGAGGCCCACGGGGCTGCACCAGGTAGGCGGCGGTGGCCACAAAGTCCCCGCCGTCCACCACGAGCAAGGCATTGTCAGGTAGCGCTTCCTCCACGGCCTGCAACACCCGCACGGGGTTCAGGTGCTGGCCCACAGACATGGCTGCCTTCTCCCTGGGATGGATGGCAGAGGTGAGCAGGGCCGGCGGCAAGCTCTCGGTGCACACACACACACACACACACACACACACACACACACACACACCTGAAGGTCTGCTCCTTGTGCCGATCGGCTTCCCGTAGCTCCTCCAGCCAGTCCGGAGCCCATGTCTGGCCCTGAAGGCCTTCCACCAGCTTCAGCATGAAGGAGCCTATGTCGCCTAGGGAAGGGAAGGGGGCAGCTCAGCAGGAGGCCAACAGCCAAGTCCAAACAAAAGCACTCGGGAGGCCATGGAGGCCAGAGGCACCCAGAGCCTGTGAGGGCCCGGGAGGGCCAGGCCTGATGGGCCTGGGAAATGGGAGGCTCGGGGTACAGTCCAGATCCCCAAGTCCTGTCAAGTTGGTCTCTGTTACGCTGATAAAAACAGTTCCCTGGGGGAGCTGCTGACTCCCACCCTGTCATCCCAGCTACTTAGGAGGATCTGAGGGTGAAGGTTCAAAGCCAGCCCAGGCAGCAAAGTCCATGAGATGCTTATGGCCAATGAACCAGATAAGGAAAGCAGAAGTGGAAGTGTGGATCAAGTGGTAGAGCGCCACCCTTGAGCCCAGGGACAGTACCTGAGTTCAAGCTCAGGACTGGCACAAAGGAACAAAAACCACAGCACCACCGCCAGGCAGGTTCCCAAGGGAGACACAAAGCTCTCCTGGGAAACATCCAGCACTAAAGCCGGTGGATGGGGCCCGTGCCATCCAATCAGAGAAACGATCCAGGCATGGGGAGACATTCAATTCCTCATCACGATCTCTCATCCCTGTCCTGACTCCCACCCACCCCAACTTATTGGAGCTAGAACCCAGAGCCCTGCATATGGGACGCGAGTGTTCTGGGCTTGGGCACAAGGCCTGGGCGCTGTCTCTGAGCTCCTTTGTGCAAGACGGGCGCTCTACCACTTGAGCTACAGCGCCACGTCTGGCATTGTGGTGGTTCACTGGCGATCGGGGTCTGGCCATGCCCTCAGCATGAAGTCGGGAGGGGCAGCGTGGATGGGAGGCTCGGGTTGTGAGTGGCAGCAAGGGCGGGGCCATCCCCAGAAGCCCCCACCCACCCCCACCCCCCACCCTCACCACCGCCAGCCCCAAGGGTGAGCTGCCCGGATGACCGAGGGGCGGGGCGAAGGCCTGGCACACACCCTGGACAGCCTCCTGAGGTTTCCAGAAGATGTCGGAGTTGAGCAGCATGTCAGCACGGTTCCGATTCACCACGATGATCCGGCTCCTGCGGCTGAGGACGCGGCCGTAGGAGAGGCGGAAGTCACACACAGCTCCTGGGGCGAGCACGGGCGACGGTGGAGGAGGAGGGCCTCCCTTCAGATCCACGGGGGCCCACGGAGTCCCCGTTCCCACCCATCCTGGCACCTGAGCCGCCCGCGGCCGGCTCTGTGGCTCTTCGCCTCGGGAGTGGCTGGGACTCACAACGTGGAGGCCCGGGGCTCCCGCCTGTCATCCTAGCTACGAGGGAGGCTGAGGGCTGAGGACTGAGGACTGAGGTCAAAGCATCCCTGGCAGGAAAAGCCCTTGGGACTCTCATCTCCAGTGAACCACCCAAGGAAGAGACCGCCTGGAGTGAAAACACTAGGGGCGGCGCCCGGCCCTGAGTTCCAGCCCTGGGGCTGCCCGCCTCCCCCCCAAAAAAAAAAAACAAAAAAGGAGAAGGTGGCACAAACCACAGTGTGACGTTTCTGAGGCCAGACCTCTAGAGGCTTCAAGAACTGGAGATTACCTCCATGTCTCCACCTGCTAGAGCCTTGGCACCAAGGAAGGGAGGGAGGGAGAGAAGGAAGGAAGGAGGGAGGGAGGGAAGGAGAGAAGGAAGGAGGGAGGGAGGGAGGGAAGGAGAGAAGGAAGGAGGGAGGGAGGGAAGTAGGGAGGGAGGGAAGGAAAAATGAAGGAGGGAGGAAAAGAGGGAGGGAAGGAAGGAGAGGAGGGAGGGAAGGAAAGGAGGGATTTGAACTCAGGGTCTAAGTGCTTGGCTGGCACACAGTTCTACCTCTTGAGCCACAAACCCTAACCCTCCCCCCCTTTTTTTTCTTTAATATTCCAAATGGGGTCTCATCCTGTGAACAGGGCAACCGACATTCACAATCCTCCTGCCTCCAGCCTCCCATGTAACTGGAATCCCATGTATGGACCACCATGCCTGGGTTCTCTGTTGACGGGGGATCTTGGCTCTCTGTTAGCCCAGGCTGACCTTGAATGAATGATAAGCCTCTCCATTTTCACCTCCTACATAGCTGGGATTACATGCATGAGACACTATGCCTGACCATGTTGGCAGGTCTTATGTAATCATACACGTGTCCTGAGTACCAGAGTAGCGCTTCAAGTGGTTAAGTTCGCTGGACATCGGTAGCTCACGCCTGTCATCCTAGCTACTCAGGGGGCTGAGATCTGAGGATCACAGTTCAAAGCCAGCCCGGGCAGGAAAGTCCGTGAGACTCTTATCTCCAATAAACCACTCAGAAAACCAGAAGTGGCACTGTGGCTCAAGAGGTAGAGTGCTCGCCTTGAGCTGAAGACCTGAGGGACAGCACCCAGGCCTGGAGTTCAAGCCCCACACCCACCCCCCCACCCCTCCCCACAAAAGTGATTAAGTTCCTGTCTTACCAATCAAAAAAGGCCCTGAGTTCAAACTCTAGAACCACCAAAAAGAGAGGTGAAAAAGTCTAAAAACATAGTAATAATAAATGTTTTGTAAGCCACTGAGTTTGGAAAAGCTAATTAGAGTCCCACTCCATAAAATGACTTTTTTTTTTTTTGGATCAGTCCTGGGGCTTGAACTCAGGGCCTGGGCACTGTCCCTAAGCCTTTTTTTTGTTCAAGACAAGCACTCTACCAACTTTTGAGCCACAGTGCCACTTCTGGTTTTCTGGTGATTCATTGGAGATAAGTGTCTCACAGGGACTTTCCTGCCCGAGCTGGCTTTGAACCACGATCCTCAGATCTCAGCCTCCTGAGTAGCTAGGATGACAGGCTGTGAGCCACCAGCACCCGGCCATTTCGAGACACTTTGGGGGGGGATGGAACACACAGATATTTGCCTGGCCGCTGGGGCGAGGCCAGCGAGTGGGGTGGTGGCCCGCTGGCCATGTGTCTATCCCAGGGTCCTGTCCATAGAGATATGTCAGGGTTCGTGGGAGCGGGTGTGGACACAGTCAGAGCTCACAGACACAGCTCTTGGGGCATGTGGCAGCTCTCAAAGCACATCATGTCACATGTGTCACCACACACGTGTCCCCTTGGTGTGTAACCTCCATGGGCAGCTGGGTCACCCCCACAGCACGGGGTTTCACTCACATCCAGACTGGGGCTCGTTCAACCACTTAAGAGGCAGGGAGGGGAAGAGAGGGAGGGAGGGGAAGAGAGGGAGGGAGGGGAAGAGAGGGAGGGTGGGCCCCAGCGAGGAGGAGGGGCAGGGTGGCAGGGGGGAGGGAGGAGGAGACGGATGCTCACCTGCCAGGATGACCACATCGGCTTTCTTCAGGGCTGCACCACGGTTCTGCCGGATGTGAAGGCGGTGGTTCTGACCCAGCAGCCCCCGCGCCATCCCTCCCAGGAAGCAGGGGACACCTAGGGTCTCCACGGCAGCCCTATGGGGTCCAAGCAGGACAAAGATCAGCGTGTGGCCCTGGGGTACGAGAACCCAGGGACCAGGCAGGGCATGGGAGGGGGCAGAGCCGATGCTCTCACCGCAGCCGGGCAGCGGGGGTCGGGGGCAGCAGGGCCTGGCTGCCTATCACCAGCAGCGGCTTCTTGGCCCGGCTCACGATCTCCACGCAGCGCTGAACCTGGGACGAGAGGTTCGAGATGGAGCGCAACCCTCCCCGCCACACCCCTACCCCCAGGCCAAGCCTGTAACCCGAGCTGCTCTGGAGGATGCGATCTGCAAGTTCGTCAGTCTCCTATCTCCCATCAGCCACCAAAACGTGGAAAAGTGAAACTTGTGTTCAAGCGGTAGAGAGCAAGCCTTGAGGGAGTAAGGAAGGGACGGCATCCACACCGAGTTCACTCCCCAGGGAGAGGGTGGGCAGGAGCACAGGTCGCTCACCTGCTGGGGGGACGCCAGGGGGATGTGCAGGGGCAGAGGCCCCTCAGGCTGAGGCTCCCAGGCACCCGCAAACAGGTTGGCCAGGCAGTTCTCTAAGTACCTGGGCGTGAGACAGGAAGGAAGCACTTTTTTTTTTTCTTTTGTCAGTCGTGGGGCTTGAACTCTGGGACTGGGCGCTGTCCCTGAACTCTTCAGTCCAAGGTGAGCGCTCTACCACTTGAGCCATGGCGCCACTTCCGGTTTGCTGGTGGTTCATTGGAGATCAAGAGTCTCAGGGACTTCCCTGGCCCGGCTGGCTTTGGACTACTGATCCTCAGATCTCAGCCTCCTGAGTAGCTGGGATGACAGGCGCGAGCCGCTGGCACTGAGCAGGAAGGAAGCACTTGGCTAGCGTTAACAAGGGGAATCCAGGAGCTGAGGGTGGAGAGGACGGTCAGACAGACAGGCTCAGGCCCTGTCTGGGCCCCGTCCCAGCTGTGGGGCAGTAGGCAGGTGACAGTGCCCTTCTGAGCTTCTCCCGCTGTAGAATGCCCACCAAAGGCCCACCCTCAGCCCATTTAGATCTTAAGGTTCACTCTGGGCTGTGGGCGAGGCCTATGGACAAAGCACGGCTCCATCCCTAGCATGTGCAGTTTTTTAAAAGGCTCCTTGCGCCGGGCGCTGGTGGCTCACGCCTGTAATCCTAGCTACTCAGGAGGCTGAGATCTGAGGATCGCGGTTCAAAGCCAGCCCG